CACACACACAGGAGGTGACTGTGAGATTCACGCAGCTAGAAATATTGCAAAAAATTCATCCTGGAAATACTTCTTCATCTTTTAGAACCCCATACTGGCTTTGCTACAAGCCTCCCCCTTCCCTCCTCCCAACACACATCCCATTTTAAGTAGAGTGTCTTTACCTTGTCCCTCAAATCCTATGGGTATTGAGCTTGGTGTGGTGGGAGGGACCTCCACTGGAGTGGGGCCAGGGTTTATAACTGGATACAGATTTTCTGCTGGCGGTGGTGGGGGAGGACCAGTCATTCCTGAAATAGAATACAATACTGAGATCAACCAGGTAGTACAAATCTGTGCATTAGATACATAAATAAGTCAATGTGCCCTAGGTTCAAGTACAGTATTATAGGACTGGTTCAGTTCTGAGTTTTACTGCAATGAAAAACCCTGCTTGATCTTAGCATAAAGCCAACCAGAACATGTTTTCATGAAGTCTTTATATTGATCTTGTGCCATTTTCCAAGATCTGCATTTTCATTCAATATGTTGAGCATATATATGCATCTTCTGTTGATGGGTGTTGGCAGATGACATACCCTCCATCTCCTCCAGTTTGATATTCTCCTGTGAGACAGATGGCGATGGTTTCCTGACACTGCCATTACCAGTGAGGGGTGTTTCCTCCTCTGACCCTCCCTTATCCACTATTATCACTTCTTTGTCGTAGTCCATGACTACAAACCAATATAAAACCTGGCTTCTTAGCAAATAATTCAATGTATCCTGTTGTCCCTGCTGCAGCCTTCCTTAGCTCTGCTCTACTATAGCAGTTGATGATTTAACGAACCCCAAGTCACTTCCTCCTGCTGCACAACTGATGATTCACTGTCAATGCTTCTTGCTCTAGCTGGTCCTACAGTTGCTGCACAGCAATTCTCACCCAGACTTAAACATTAGATGTCACTGCTTCTACAGCTTCTTACTGCATATAGTAGCCACTCCCAACTCGTGAGTTACCAGCTCCTCTATCCACCAGCTGTAGGTCAATAGTAACTCACCCGCTGAACTGCCCACTGCACAATGCACATTAAAAGCAGCAGGAATTATAGTATGTTATTATGCAACCCAGAAATGCAGGCTATGTTGTGTTATTAATGTCCAGAAGGACCAGCAGCCACCACTGCTTTGGGCTGTCACAAACAACACATAACAACATAGATCACACTGTAGTCTTCATGGCGAGTGCAGTGCCCTTTTGGAGACTGGCATGCCACAACAATGGGGCGCTAATAGCTGTAATCTCTACCTTCTTCTGCTATTGTGCACATTATTGTGTTCATCCATGCTTTTGTGTACAGTGTTGTATGTATGCATTTCTATTGTTGTGCACAGTGTTGTATACATTTAAGGCCACTTATCTATTTAAAGATTTATGCTTCCTCATATCATTAATAGGAGAATGAATGAAAACAATGTAAAAGGGAAAATAATTAAAAGGGAAAAAAGCCAACATTTTTTATTTCCAGGCACTTCCCCTTTTTCTTAATATTTGAGAAAACATAAAAGGGTATGATAGCTACTTAAAAATTTGCTATCTCTCACATCTGATGAGTTTTGACTTAATTGAATAGCGGGAGGCAGAGCACTTGTGTATAATTCAAAAATTAAACGAAACTTACCTGTAAGTTGATGTTTGATTGTAATTCTATGAGACAATTATAGGAGGAGATGAAATGAGAATGCACAGTGCGCATTCGCGTCAGGTTTTGAAGCATTTTTGCATGATTTCTTCAGAAGTTTTTATTAATCTTCATTTTTTGATAATAATCCACATCACTATTATCATAAGTTGTGTAATAAGGGAGGGTGGGAGAGGAATTTCATCTCCTCACCTATAATTGTCTCATAGAATTACAATTAAACATCAACTTACAGGTAAGTTTCGTTTAATTTTTGAATTTTATATCGAACAATTATATAGGTTCGTCATGAAATGAGACTTTAAAGCATAAATCATGCAAAATGAAACATGAACTCTTGTTTAAATTCATACAAAAAGACTTTATTGGTTATTTATCAAACACAAACAGTTTATAAATAAACTGACTTAAGTTCACTTATCTAATTTAAGTGCAACTTTCACTGCGTCATTTTCAACTATTTCTTTGTTATAGAAAATATTCTAATTTGACCAACCAGCCTGGTTCATTATAACCTTACAGGCCGATGCTGCTCTCACACTATGAGCATCACCCTTCACAGTATCTATTCAGGCCCATAGCCAGGGGGGGGTTGGGGGGTTCAAAGAACCGCCCTTTTTGCTGGGAAAAGGTCCGCTCTGGGTAAAATTTGATCTAGGTTCATGAAGTTTTAATAGAAAATGGTCCACTTTTCCAGAAAAAGAACCCCCCTTTTGAAATTGCGGCTACGGGCCTGCTATTCCTGATCTTATTACGACCACTTTGATCCACCATGCAATAGTGTCTTTGACACTGCTTTATGTGGTTTTCTGAAACTGATTAACAACCTGCTTCCTTTAGAGTGTCTCAACAAATTAGTCAGTTTTAAGTTCTTAATATTTCCTTTGTAACATTGTAAACACAAAGTCTCTTATCAGGAAGATAAGCTTTAAAACGAACTTTGAAAAAAGTTCTTCCTGGTCTACTCTGCTTACTTAAGTAAACCGTCACAACAAAACATTCAGATGTCAACTTAAAAAAATTCTTAACAGTTAACAAGTGCACATTTTGAATTCTGGCAACATTTACTAATGCACTAAGCATAGTAAGTTTCCAAATCAAGTCTTTCAGACTAATATTAGTTATAGGAGATAATTTGTGTTAAGTTATATTAAACTTGATCAATATCCCACACAGATATATCTATTTGTATGTGGGCGTAGATTAAATACACTTTTCATATAACAAATCACTTGTGGTGCAATCCTGTCAAATAGTGTCCCAGCAAAATTCCAAGTGGTGACAGAGCACTCCTGGCTGCATTCAAGGAACTATATCCTCAATCCTTGTTATACAGATCAGCCAAAAACTCAATAACATCATTCATAGAAATACGAAATGGATTAACACTTCCTTCGCAACAGACATGAAATCACTTTGATAAATATGTCTTGTACTGACATTTAGCAATTAGTCTTTGCTCTCAATGCCATAAAAATGTTGTTTGATAGTTCTGAAACCCCCAGTCTCTAAGACTTCCTGATAACTTGCAAATTGCAAGGTCATTTTTAATGGATATAGAATCAACTTTCTCTAAATACTGCAGCGTCAAGTTTTTCCCCCCAGTGGTAAAATCAAAGGAGTTTTGACCAGCATCTGCATTAATTAGCAACAAAACATTGGTCACCATATTTTTGTCCATAGTTGTACCATCATAACAGCTCTTTTTTTGGCTGTTTTTATTTTATGCAGCCACCTCATGAGACTAAAAGGAGGAAAAACAATCAAAGTCAAAATTTTTCCTACTTAAACTGCAAACATCATTAAACGTGTCACCAGGATATGGTGTTCGAGCAAAAAATTGACTGGGACCTACCCCGAGTTTTGGACTTCACTGGAAGCTCACCTCTAAAATGATGTGTTTCCAATATGTAGAGTGTTAAAATGTGTGGCTTACTTCGCAGGAAATATTTTAACAACATTATGTTAAATGGTAAATAAAGAAGAATTAACAATGCTTAAGTTGTCAACAAAAATTGCATGGTCCAGTTCTTTCATAAGATACATTTCTGACATTTATATTGTTATCAGATAGTCTATCTACTTTTTTTGTCTTGATAATCAATATATTTTGTACACTTGAGAGAAGATACTGCAAACTGAAAATTCAGTCAATTAACTCTTCACTTGATTTTATTGCTGAACTATTGCTGTAGTGGAGATTTCTTAACACACTGAGTCAGTGTCTTAACTGCTTTTCACACACATACATTCATGCACAAACACATACCAAAAAAATAAAATCATCACAAAAAAAACAAGGCAGCAAAGCTGTCAAATGTACAGACAAAAAAACAGAAAATAAAGATGGAAATAAGTGAAAAATTAAATTTTCACAAAAAACTGTTAAATTGCCAGAAAAATTTACCAAACAGACTGCATTGCCTATTGAAGCTGTATGTTAGACCCATGTTTCTTTCCTGTAAGTTTGAGAACAGTAAGTGACATGATTTCCCTTAAATGGTCATCATAGGAGCAGTGCCCAAAATAGGGGTTTCTTCAAATTTTGATGCAACATTACATAATGTTGAACAGCATGATGACAATCAAATGTTATTAATAAAATATTAGTAACATGGACATTCAGAAAATGTGACAAGCAAAAGTCTTCAGGATCATGGAACTTTAAAGTCACACCTTGTAAATGCCAATATGTGAAAAATTAAATTTTCACAAAAAA